TGGACAGTTATAAAGCAATTAAGCAGTTTCTAAGCGGTTGATCGCGAAGAGATCATCAAGAGAATATAAAAGGAATAAAAGACATAGAGCAATAGAACCGGAATCAAACACTCTCAAATAGAGAATATGTAATTTCAACTTCTTAGTTTAGACTTAAACATTTCTTTTCAGTACTCGTATGCTTGCGCCCCTGGAGGCATTCTGTTTAGTTTCAATTGTAAAGTCATCGCCAATAAAACACTCCTTTTTGGGACTGTCTCAAGAGGTTTGTTCCTTATACAATCGTCTGATCCTTTTTAATTGTTAGTTACTACCCGCACGAAACAGATACACTTAATTCAATAATCACACTTGCACATTTATTAAAAAAATAATGTTATTCATCTGCACAAATATACCCATATCATTTAATTTGACTATGAAAGTACTCTTAAGCCCAAACTTATTAGGAAAAAAATGTTGTTGAGTAGTGCATACATATGAGGTGAAATTAATAAATTGAAACAAAACAAAGTTCAATAAGCCTATTGAATTATCACTAATAGTTCAATGACCTCCGATATTTTTACTTTTTGAGTAAAATTCGAAATCTAAAAAGCCCTGAAGAATAAAATGTAAATTAATAATTTTAAACGTAAAATTTGTTTTGACAATTGGGGGTATTTTCATAAAAGGCCTAAGCAAGTCATTCAAAACTTTTTTTGGCCTTGCTTACTATAGAAAAGTTTTGAGGCCCTTTTAGGTTAAAAGTTCCCAATTATCCTTGTACATATTGTTGAAATATCCCAAATGCCCTTAATATAAAATGACTATAATTCCCATTTTTCAAATTATAACCATTTTCAAATGACTCTGGTAGTTTAAAACAACTTTAAACAACTGTAGTTATTTTAAACGGCTGTAATCGTTTAATCATTCACAAAGATCATAGAAACGACTACAGTCACTCTAAATTACTTTAGAAACAACACCATGAATTTTATAGTTAGTTTGGATGAAAAAACTTGTACTTGTAAATGATTTCAATTAGAACATTAACCGTGGCGAGCATGCAGTAGCTGCGGCAAAAAAGAGTGGCTATTTAATTTACTTGTTTTCCTCTTTGTATTGTACTATCGAAGATTAAGAGTAGTTTACTATTTTTTTGTGTCAAATGGAGTTGATTGGAAAATTCTTAAAAAAATTGGTTTCCTCAATGTGTTGATGTTGTTAGCACAACGACGAGATGGACGTATTAAAACAACAAGAATTCTTTCTATTGAAGAGTTATTCAAAAGACACAAATGTAGTAGGCGTGCCACTAATGGGCACAACCAACCGGCATGTACAAGTCAAATACCTTTAACTGATAAAAGATTGTAGAATTAGTATGTTGTTTGTTGAATTGATATAATGTCATTTAGATAACAATGTATACTAATTTCTACTCAAACATTGTTTAGTAAAGCATGATGAATTATATGTAATGAATTTCGTCTTCTTATTTATTTGAAATTAAAAAGTCGAAACCAAACACGATTAATAATATTAGAAGTTTAATTCTCACCTCATCTTGCATTATACATTATTGTAAGTCGCATACTTATAATCTAAACATGGTATACTTGAATAATGTTAGCAGAGCATGATTAATTGCATATAATGAAATTTGTTTTCTTTTTCTTTCTAACTAATTCAAATCAATTGTAAATCGTATACTTTAAAATCAAATACAATATATACTTAAAAAATGTGTAAGGAGTACAATAAATTGTATATAATGATATTAGTCTACATTTCTAAATAAAATAAATTGTAAACAACTAGAGTCTTTTCAAACAACTCTAGTTCTTTAGAAAAAATGATTAAAGTCGTTTAAAAAGACTATAGTTGTTATTACGAAATGACTATAGTTGTTTCCTAATCGTTTTAAGAAACGGCTATGGTCCTTTTAAACGACTATAGTCATTTTAAATGACTTAAATTCATTCTTTTAGGAAAAGACTGGAAGTGTTTTAAACGACTCTAGACATTTAGGAAAAATATACCTTTTTCCTTAAATAATTACAAAACGATCTCCTCTCTCACGTAAATCAAACATAGCAAAGTTCAATTTATTATTAAATTGTTAGTCCAGAATAGCTCGCGAACCACCAAATGAACCCGCAACAAATGCAACCTTACTTGATCTTGAGAAGTATTTAGTTTTCAATCTACCATTTTCATTTATTTAGCTCTGATACTCCTCCTCATTAATAAGACTTAACCCTGTAACGAACGTAAACTCGTACAAAAGGAAACGGACAACTTTTTCCAATATTAAACAAAATCATAGTTCATCCTCGTTCACAGAGACAATTAGTCGTAATAACAAGTTGCAAATTAGTTGGGCAGATATTTTCATATTTCTAATGTATAATTTACCGAAGCATGAATTCAAGAACATCTCCTTATGAACATCATCAAATGCATCATATACTTTCTCCACACTTGACACTTTAGAACGTGCCGTGACCTTCGCATCACATCGATCATTGATGTCGTATATGTACTCCATCCTGCAGAAAGATCATAAAAAGGGACAAAATTTGGTTGATGATTTGACTTTAGATCACTTTTTCAAGAAGCAAAAAAATGGCATAATCGGGCTTCTCACATTTCTAGAGCCATGTTGATTTTTTACCATAATTCTATTACCTAGAACAAACTGATGCCTCCAATTTGCAACTCTGTACCAGCTGGACTTGGTAGAAACAAATGGTATCCTCCAAACATAAAGAAATTCACAATTAAATTAAGAAATTGGTTTTTAACATCATTCCATTTTTCAACATTTGAAAACATAAATCCATTTTTCAAAGGTAATAAAAAACAGGAAAAAAAAAAAAGGCAGCAACAGCAATCCTTGTTCCTCAAAATGACAATAGACAAATCTTATTCTTGGTTGCTTGAGTCATCTCCACAAAACCCAACTACAAAGGTAGATGTTACAAAACCCAGTGGCCTAGTTTGGTTCCACTAACCACGAAACCCAACTACTACATGGTAGATGTTATATTAATGGCCTAGATAGGCTCCTCTATTAGCATATAAATATCACTTTGTCTAAATGATATAAAAGCCGTTTGGTCTCAAACTTTATGATAAATACTAATTACTGAATAATTTTCCAGACTTGTCAAATCCTAAACACAATCAACTTTGATCTTAACAACATGACCAATAGTATACATTTTAGAAAGGATAATAAACACAGAATCCTTCTAAGCAGTCAATTGTTAGTTATAACATGTGCATTAGCATTACAGCCAGACATGGTTCCATTAATGGCATCATTGTACCATGCTGAATTTTCAATTGAATTTAGCATTATATGAGCTTGTATGTTATCCCAAGTATAAAAAAATGATACAAAGAACCAAAGTAACATTTTGTGAAAGTAAAACAAGAGACCATTCCTAACAAGTCAAAAAAACACAACAACAGCACCTTCAATCATAAAAAATAACACATCCAGCTTCCTACAATTGTCAACAACAACATCAATCATACAAATTACAAAGATCACATTTAGCAAAAAAGAATAACACTTCGCATCTCCTAAACAAACGGGCAGTA